GTTCCTGGTAGATTGGGGTGCCCTTTGCGCCTCACCCTGTTATCCGGCAGCCGTATCCAATCTTCGTCCAGTTGCTCGTTGCCTAGCAGCCAGCCTGACCATCTTACGAAACCTGGGTCTACCCATCTCGAGGACAACCTGCGTGGGTCACTCGTTAGGCGCCCATATCTGTGGGATTATGGCGAACTTTCTACTGTTCAGGATGCACAGAATAATCGGTTTAGACCCGGCCAGACCCCTCGTACGTCCCGGATACGTAAATCGGTTGGACAGCGGTGACGCGGACTTCGTCCAAGTGATCCACACGAACGCCGGATATTACGGGGAGGGTGGGCGCATGGGGCACGTAGATTTTTGCGTGAACGGTGGAAAAGTGCAACCATTCTGCGAGAACAAGCCGAATTATCAACTGTGCAGTCACGTCTGGGTCGTTTGTTACATGGCAGAGAGCATCGACAATGGGGGCCAGGATTCGATGGCCGAGCCGTGCACGAGGAGGTGTCCTTCCGGGCCGAGGATCGCTCTCAGAGCCGGTGAATATGTGACCATGGGGCAGCATACACCGGTCGGAACCAGGGGCTCTTTTTGCTTCACCAGCAAGTATCCACCTTACTGTCCTAAGTATAGGAACGGGCGTGGTGACGAGAGATGTTGCGTACCGGAGGACAAACCTGTCACGTTCTAGTGACAACGAGAAAGTTATTGTAAGTTATTATAAAAGGAATATAATTCAAGACTGTACATAAAACGCATAAAACATAATAGAATAAGACGACTCTCGTAACAAGAATTAATGTAAATTATTAATGAACGGTATTCATAGATCGATATTTTCTCGTTTTGTATAGAAATATTCGAGCAATTTTTCGTACCAAATTTTATAAAGAATATAAAGAAAGAATGTTAAGAAATTTGAATTTGTCATTAGTAAGCAGACAAACGTGTTTATATCGTTTTATAACGTTATCATTATTAAAACAATCAGAATGTAAACTCGTTAGTTAAACAAATCAAAAAAAATATGTACAATAATTTTATAATAATTAGGAATACCAGTTAACACAAAACGCTCGGTATTTATCCAAATGGAAAATGATTAACCACTCACGGTTAAAAGATACACATAGCACGTCGTTTGTACTATGAATTAATTAATATTTAAAAAAAGTGTGTGTGAATGGCATTCCTCGTTGCTTAAACATACAGGTGTCCGAGGACAAGTGGATCTTCGTACGGTATCGCGATGCGTGTAGTCCAATTCCGGAACATGATTGCGTATTCAGCCGCGGTACATACCACCCGGAAAAATCTTGCGTTCGTGATCTACCGACCTATCAATCCCGTTAACCGCTCCACTGAACCTCCTATAAATGTATTCATGACAATGTCCACCGTGCGGACAACTGTTTTGTCAATCTTTCCTTGCGAAGCGCTATTGTGCAACTGATTGTTCCAATGATTTGCACGTTCGTGTAATGTTCGTGTAATGATAACCAATTTCTTTGATAAAGTTGCATAATGTTTTAATTTGTTGCTTCTAATTGATTGCGAAAAAGAAACAGCAGTTTCGAGATGTTCTTCCAACATTACACATCTGCAAATTAAGAAACATTGTTAGAAGAAATTATTAATGGAAAATGTGTTCATTTTCTTACCTTTTTGAATTTTTTGTTATTTATTTCGACAGAGTTTGCTTCTTTTCATTCTAATTATTTTATTGTTATATTGGAAAATTCTTCGTATAGCTTTAGTTCTTTTTTTTTTTTTTTATCGTTTTTAAATTAATATCTTATTCTTAGAATGATTTTTATTAAAAGATTCAAGAATAATATGGTGAATAACGATCTTTCTTTATAAGAAATTAATATGTACTTATTCATTGTACGATATCTAATGTAACGTATGTGAGAAATAAATAAAACACAAAGCTGAATATTTTCACTCCTTTGATTCTTTAGTATAATATCCAATATTTTAATTGTTATAATAAAAACAAGCATTTAAAAAAGAATCCAGATCCAGAAAATTCAACGAACCATCTGTTTCCGTTTTTCTAAACTTCCGACCAATTTCGTCATTGCAAGTGTTGTTCAAGTGCTTCGCATTCTCACGATTTGTCCGATGCACAAGTGCAGTGGTTCAGAGACATTACAATGTACAAGCAATTTCTCCGAGAACTTAAATGAAAAAAAATAGAGTGAATATTGAAAGAAGTTATTGCACGGAAGCTCGTCGACAAATCCAGACATCATCGAGTAGCCGACGAACCGGCGCCCCGCTGTTCCAAAAGTGTTTCGGGAGACATCGATACCAGAAGTTGCCAAGATCCTTGGAAAGGCGACACATAGACGCGACACGATCCTCGACAACAAGAACTCGTGTCTCTACAGATACTTCCTCTTGAGGGCAGTGGTTTTTGAAATTTGTTTAATAACTTGGTTATCAATGTGTCCCAAAGATCTTCCGCATTACATGATGAAAAACATTGATCTTGTTTCAAGGCCATCTTAGGGGAGTAACGTTCCTCGATTTAACATCCCAAACATTTCTTTTTCTCAATGAAAAAGTTAATTTATTTCAGAATTAATGTATGTAAATGAAGTACGACAAGACATTTGTCAAGTTAATTTTCATTATAAATTCACAGGTAGGTATTTAAGATTTGATTTGAAGATAAAATAGAATATATCAATATACTTCCATATTATTCCAAATTTAATCAATATATATGTTTAATGGAGGTTATTCAAGGTGTTATTTAGAATTATATTTCAAATAACAAGTAATTTTTTAAAAACTGGAAACGATTAATGAATAATAAAATGTTACGTTACATCTTCGTATAAAAGATATTTTATTATAATGAGTAAAAAATTATATCAATTGGATTTAAATCTATCTTAAGTAGCAAAATTATCGATAAAAATATTTTGGTATTCGAACTAGCGTAATGTACAGAGTGAATAAGTAAAAATATGCAAATAAATGCTTTTCTTTGATTGACAATTATGTAAAGAATAATACAGCGTTTGTAATACTGTCAGATTCCCATTTTTTCATATGCTCGTTACATTTTCAGAAGCGGCATATTCCAGAAATCACGTATTCTTAATAATAATAATAATTATATTTATAATTATTCATTTATTCTTTTCATAAGGCACTAGATTGTACTTATTTACATTCATTTTTATATTTAATTAGGTGCTCGTATATTCGCTTCAAGCACTTGTTTCCATTCAAAAAATATATTCTTCAATTATATTACTGTTCAATTAAATCACTTAATACTTCATGAAGATTTCGTTATTCTTATTTCATTACAAAAATTTGATTGAATATAAAAAACTTTTAATGTAATCAAAAATTTGTTTAAATCTTTGGTCCTCTATTAACGATTTACTAAAAATATAAGTGAAATTTTAAATATATCTTATCACTTGTAAGAAAAAAGACATTCTTTTCTTTTTACAATCTGTACAGTATATATATATGTATATATATATATATATTCTTTTGAAATTCCAGTTCTATTTTATTCGCTCATGATTGATGATAACTGAATCAAACAACACATCTTGTTATATAAACTTCACTCTCCATTTCTAATTTCAAGAAATCTTTGGTTCATCGATACGAGATTCGATACACGCAATGGAAAAATCCTTTTAGCGTACTTTTTTTCATCTTATAAATAAGTTATTTCACGCATCGAACAAATCTGTATCGGACCACATATATCATCTATTTTGTCGATGAAATTTCGTAAATTGTTTCATCCATTGGTACGATAACTTCGCGAGTCTGGATTCATCACCAAGGAGGGGTAAAACAGGCTAAAATAATACATGGGAAAATTGAAATCGTAGAATCTGGGCGATAAGTTGAACGACGAGGTGGACGAAATCGTAGGCGACGAAAATTGTGGAGAAGAATCGACCCATGGCCTGTGCAATCTCGGTTGCGCCTCTCGATCGACGTCCTTCGTCGGTGAATTTCTGTTTCCGGATAAGAGAAGGGGTGGACTGACTCCTCCACAGCTACTAATCCCGCTGTCGTCCAGACTTCCTGTTTCGCTGGAGGCTGTTCTCGGCCTTTGATTGGCCACATCCAGATGATTCGACGCTCTGTTCGTCGATTCAGATTCCGGAAACACGGTCTCATCCTCGTCGTTGATGCGACTCAATCTCTCCGCTTCCGCCTGAAACTTTCTCTTGCATCGAGATTGACCATTATCCCGAAATCCTTTCGCGAATTTATTGTTGTTGATTTTCAACTTGGTAATGTTTTCGTTCTGAAATTATAAATATGCGAGATTGTATATTTACGAATTAATTTATACACAAATTCTTTTTTAATTTTGAAATTATTTTTTGATACATGATTGATACCTGATAAGCGGTTACGGCAATGAACTCGGTTTCACGAAACATAAAGGATGAGGCTGGTTGACTGTAAAGATCGCTGATTCTGGTCGCATCGTCGCAACGAATGATCCAAATTCGCGGAATATATTTGTGCATAGAAGTCAAAACAACCTGTGAACAAAAATTAGAGATAAAATAAGTAAGTTTAAAAGAATGGAAGAATATATTCTTGGGTATTATATTGCATTTTTTGAAAAAAAGTTACAGGTCGCCGATATATTTAGAAAGTATATCACGCAAAGCTGGTGAAGATTCCCGCTTTTTTATCGCTAGAAAGAAAACATTCCCTTCATTCGGACAACGTACAGCCGGTAGAATTTTATTAAATTCGTAATTAGTTTGAAGAATCGGCTAAAAGGGCGCCGCTTCGTCGAGATAAGTTGGCGCCTTGCTAAGGATGCCGACGACGATGGAGACAGACGCGATTCTCGAAAACCAGACTGGCCCTTCAACCTTCCCGGAATCACACGCTCTCGAACTATTCAAAATCCTGTATAAATCCTGCATGCTAGATATTTCGTTACTTCATTGATAGAACCATATAACTGTCCATCAATATTCAAATTTTCATTTCCATATTTTACTTTTCTTGTCGATCAATAATCAATGATCTTATTTTTTTTTTTTTAATTTGAAATCCATTGTATTTCTCTATGTTAACAAAATAAAAAATCTTCAAATATTGATAATAAAAAATAACGTAATAAAAATTTAAAATTAGAAGAAGGAACAGCAGTAGAATGTCGAAGAAGAAAAGAAGAACCATTGTCGAAAGAGGACCGCGTGCGGTATCTTTTAATAATCACTGCTCAGGTATTAAAGGTGACGCAGATCCGCATAAATAATTTCCAGGATATTGGTGAAAAATTGAAAGAACTAGGGGCGCCATTGGGTAAGCCAGCTGGCCAGGATTCATCCTGTCGAGGCATAAACAAACACATTCGTCGAGAGAAAGGGAGGTATATCGATTACAGGGTGTCGTGGAGCGTGTTAATCTTCGTTCTTCACGGACAACAGGCAAAACCGACGTACCCAGCACCGTTTTGAGTAGCTTAAGTCTCAGGAAGGTAAGTGCACGCGGCATCTTCCACTTTCCCTTCAAGATTTTAATCCCAACCCTGGCCCTTGTGCGCCAAGTTTGGTCACTTTACCCAGTTAACGAAGCCTCCTGTTATTTCGCCGACCTAACGCATTAAGAAAGGAATATGGGTTGACTCATGTCGGAAAAAAAGGACGATGTACATTTGGCCAGGTATAAAAATTATCGATGCTACATATTTGTGAGATGATTTGGCAGAATGAAAGAAGAGGCGAAATTTTCAATGTTAGTATCGAAAATTATAAAATATTTTAAGAAGAAAATAAATAAAATGAGTAGAAATGGAATAGAAATAAAAAAAAGTGAAATTTCTTTTGTTTTTTAAATATATAGAATAAAAACATTTATGTATATCGTTCAAAAAGGAATAAATATTGGAAGAATCATCCGTGGAATGAAAGTTAGAAGCTAATTGAGAACGAAGTAGGAATTCTCTAACTCAAGGTTCCCCTTTTTTTTTAAGTAGGCCCCTAATCGGAAGTGAAACGAGTAGCTAAGAGGGTGGATCCGTGTGTGGCGACCTCCCACATGCGACTCGAAAAAGGAGGCAAACCGTGAGTCGAAACCAGAGACACGCAAAGAAAGAAAAGGAAGAAGCATTTAAGGACATGCTGGCCTGTCCAAACATGGGACATCTAGATAAATGCCGCTACCGTTTGCTTGCCTATTCCGGACTTCCGTCAAATCTTTTCACTCTTTTTTTTAAATCAAAGATCGGAGGAATTAAACAGAATGAATTAATATTCAATCTCTCGGACGAATCGATAATTAATTCATCGAATATTCCTTCAAAAATTTTTCATCTAATAATAATAAATTTTTTTTTTTTTAATAAATTCGAAAAAGACACTCACGTTATTCCTAGGATCGACAGCGTTGTTAGTCAATTTTAATTTATCGAATTTGAGCGGTTGTTGTTGCATCCAATGAGCACCGGTCTCGGGACTATCCGGATGCAAGTAAATTCTTCGATCGATTCCAGGCTGCAATTCTGCTGGACCAATCGACGTCCATCTTGCATTCCCATAACCTTTCTCCAAACTGCCAATACCACTGCTGTTACCACCGACGTACTTGTGTCGACGATCGGATGCCGGCTCCACTTCGAGGAGGACCCAATAACGAGCACGACGCTCTAATCCTGTGATGGTAAGTTCGATTGATGGGAACATACGTCTGCAACAAAATCACATAAAGGTTTCCATGTTATTAATAACATTCTCTAACAAATTGAAGTTTCGTAAAAACCGCGAATGCAATAAAAGTGCAATCATGAAAACAATGATCGATTATTTAAAAGCTATGAATTCCTACGATTAAAAAAAAAATTATCTATCATTTGTCGTAACATTATTTTGTCATTTTATAACAAGCACATTAAATTTTCGTTTCTAAATAGAGTGCAAAATAGACTCCTTCAACTTACAAGACTTAACGTCAAAGTTATTTCATCAGCTCAGACGTCTTCTTGACATCGTTGCGATAAGTGTGCTCTTATTGCACACAGGTAGCATAAGCAAATAGAGAACGAAGGAAAAATTCGTAGTCATTAACGTGCCAGAGACGAGTGGGCGTCGCCGAACCAACGACTCGAACTGCTGTTACTTCCTGCGACTCTTTAAGTCTTAAGTTTAAGAGCATCACGGCCCGCTATCTTTCGATCCCGACAGCAAGTTTTACCCGTGTAAACATTTCAAACGCACGGATAATCCCATGAGTAAATCCCATCAAAAGTCAATCTGCGGTGGTTCGGTTCGTTTGCATACCTAATTGCAGATTTTCCACCATGATTTTGTTCTTTCTCTTATTTTTCGCCAAAGTTCACAGCCCACTGTACAACGTTATTACTTTTATATGTGCCTCGAATAATGTAATTTTCTTGTTCTTCATTTCGTAAATTATATTTACACAGCTATTAGAATAACATGACGCATTTTAGACTAAACTTACGTACGTGAACCTGTGCTACGAATCAGTGAAAGTTACTTTAGGCGTTAAACCCATGGGTTTAAATCTTCGATTACGATGGTACCTGACTCCTCAGTATTTAAAAGTTAAGGAGTGATATACATCTAAATGGACGCAATTAGCAGTAGAAAATCCATCGAATTCTCGAAGTGCATTTTAGAAATCACCACTGATCCTCTACATTTGAGACACATTTGAAGTCTTAAGCGAAAATTATACATAATCGCAATACGGTGCCAGGATTTCGATAATCTTTCTTTTCAAACTGGAAAATTAAGCGGATTCAAAGGGAAAATCCAAATAAATTTTTTCATTTCCAAATTCTTGCTATGATGATTATATGACTTTCCATAATTATTAGCCATTGTTAAAGTGAAATTTTTAAATTGTTGAAGAAAAATCACCGTAGTAACGAATTGTCGAATGACAACTGAAATCAATTATTCATTGATTGATTTCAAGTTGAAGAAATATGTTCTCAGGATCGACGCAATTCTCATCGTTCAATCCACTAAAAGTGGCGCCCTTATAAGTGGAGGATTACGCCGTCGCGACGTCTGCTGGAAGACCCGTGCGCCGATGATTCGAGCGTGTCTGGTCCTTTTAAAATGCCTCTCGAAATTATCGAATAAGCAGATAATGCCGTTAATAGCGTGATAGAACAACGCGTGCAGAACGGCAGCACGCGCCTCGCTTCCCTTTCATCTCGTAGATTAGATGAATCAAAAATCACGTGGCACTAAATTTTATATTCAAACAGCAACTTGAATTATAAATACACATTATAGTGGTAATATTATCGATTCGATTCAATTTTGATGAAAATTTGTATGGAACTTGGAAGAATTTCAAATATTTTAAAATATCTATATTTTTAATTAAAATTAAAATAAAACGACATTTCGAAATATCTTTTTTTCTTTGAATCCAATTATGAATGAATACCATAACTTTGTACCATAAATCCGTAAAGACGTAATACTAGTGGATCGGTAACAGGCGAGACGAAATGTGAAATGAATTATCTTTGCTTTAGAAGAAAGGATCCTTGTTACAAGCAAAAAAGGATAACGAAGGAGAAGAGAAAACAAGATGGATCTAGGAATAACGCTTCTGGGTCGCACATTTTCATTCGTGAACGTCGTTGGTTGGTGAAAAGCGAGGGAGGGAGGCAAAAGCAAAGGACCAAGGGAGGTAAAAAGAACAAGAGGATGGGCCGATCGTGGAAAACAAAACGTATCGAACCTCGCCAAAAGGAAACAAGGAGAACGAACGAGTCGATCGTGACGCGGAATACTGATTAGTGCATACAAGGCCTGAAACGGAATGCACGTGGTTGGCACGTGGTGTTCTCGCAAGGGAAAAATCGTGGCTGGACCGGAAGGCACAGATATGCGGATGGACAAACACCTTCGTAACTATTGTAAAACCTGAGACCGCCCACGAATTGTCGGTGACCAGTCGTTTCTTTTATCTCGATTATTCGTGGTGTGTTGCCTTCTTATTGACAATAGAAAATAAGATCGGAGAAACGAATATTTCGAGCCAAATGTCTAGTATATGGATGCATTATTGCAAAAATAATATTACTTGTTTATTATTCGTTATTGCTAGTTTTATCATAAATGATATTATCATAATAATATTGTCAACTATGTTTCTATACGATTTATCCTACAATGATTAATTGTTTTTCTTCGTATCTGTTATTAAATTAATTGCATATCAGGACATGTAAATGATTCTAAAAAAATTCTTTGATATATTTCAAAATATTTAAATTAAATATTCAAAATAAGTTTCATATTTGCAATTATTTTTCTTTACAATAATAAAAATGAATATCCTGAAAGATATATATTTGTTCAAAAAGAGACAAATTTTTCCAAAAGATAAAAAATTTATAATCAATAACTGTACATGTGCTTATGTATATCACGTCACACGTGACAAATCTTGAAATCAATTTCACACGTACTTGTAAGTGAAAGAAAATTTATTTGTATTTCGTAACACGTAAATGTTTCAGATGACCGGATGTTACAAAATATTTCAACAATCTTGTCACGTTCACGTCACGTTGGCGTTTTCCCTCCCCTTTGATTTCCGCGTTCACGAAACAAAACCATCTGGCTGACATCAGCGAGTTATCTTACGCGAGATACAACGCGAAATTTCTCGGTAATCTTATCATAGATAACCACCGCCCGCGCATTTGAAAAGGAATGACCGGTAGCTCGATCGTTTCCGGTGTCGAACGGCCGGAAGTGGTGGTGATTCGTCCTGCATCCGTCCCACGACTTTTCCCCGCAAAATCTACCTTCGTAAAATGATTCGAAGATCGGTGTCATCGATAAAAGTGGACACGTCGTCACGACCTTACTTTTACGATCTTCCTTGACCACCTTCCGTGAAACTAATCGCTCTGTCGTCGTTGAAAAGCGTCCCTTCTTTAAAAGTGTCCACTTACCTTCCACGACTGACGCGTAACTACTGTGTATAATACTGTGTGAAACTTCGCGTCCTAACGACTCATCGTACGTAAACGATAGTCATCGTTGGAATGAAAGATATTTTAGATTTTATCAAAGTTAAGTAGCATAAAAGTCTCAATTATGAATTCTTAAATGATTTCTATTCAGAAATATTGATCGATTATGACCACTTTTCATTGGAACAGAGATATCTCTTCATCTTCCGATGAACTGAGAAAAGAAAAAACAAAGAGTTAGAAAGGAAATCCGTTTTTTAAGTCTTTAAAATATATAGTTGTATCTATGTACGATATTATAAACGAGCAAAAAAAATTTCTTTAGTGAAAAAGTGAAAACTATACGACTGTGGAAACAATCATGGAACAGGTCGCATTTTTTCAAGTGAAGACGGTAAAGGTTTCGGCAGCGACAGAGGGTGTGGTCGCTCTGGTGCCTGACCATTTCAGCCCCAATGGAATTCAAGATACAAGAAAAAAAAAAAAATAACTATTAGATATATTTTTATTTTCATTTTCGAATAATCGTTAATTTACTTTAACGTTATATCCAAAAAATTTTTATTAAAAAAAAAATATATATATCAAAACAAGTGTGTTTACGTACTCATTTGTTTCTAACGTGAATATTGTGTTATTAATAGTATAATTAATAAAAAATCATGCACTCACCGGCCTCCTTTCGTAATCACCATTTCCGTAGTTTCCGTGTGAAATTGATACCATAATTCCCGATTTTGCAATTCAACCTTCACTTCCGAAGGTAAGGGAGGTCCTCTGCCTAGACTTGGTATTGACCATGTATTTGGATTCGGTATATTATCTGAAACATATTCATGTTAATAAATTAATATTTATTTCTAAATTTAATTTTATTATTTTTCTCACATCTTCATTTCTTTCTTATCCTTTCGTGATAAAATCATTAAAATCAAACTTATAATATGCATCCTTTTCTTCTGCTAGAAAATAATATAATCAAGCGACTTACACCTCGGCTGTGGATCGTCAAGAATCGCACCGAAGAGGTTCATTAACTCTCCCAACAATAATTCCCACGAATCTACGGGACCATGACTCCCGGTAAAAGATAAAACAAACAATGAAGACAAATTATACTCACAGACGAAAAAGAAGAATGATATTTTCGCAACGATAGAAATCATTCACGCAAAAAAAGAATAACGGAAAAGAAAGGAAAAAGAAGAAAACATTGAAGTCTTCTTGCAAAATCGTTATCCTTTCCACTTCGTCTACATAGACACTAGATGGACAAGCGAAATAGGGACAAAAAATTGCGCGGATCAGGTAACTCGAATGCCGGGAAGAACACCTTTTCCAAGTGGATCCTATAGAGGCGTCGTAGCTTGGCCGCATGAGCGATTCGCCCTGCACTTGTCTCGCGGTTCTGCGGTTGGGGCATTAGGCCCCGGCTAGGATAATTGCGG